AAAAAATCCGAATTCAAAAAAATTATGAAGTGTAAAGTAAATACAACAATTTTCAATATAAAAGTAATTGAAATAAACAAATAATATGAGAAACAATGAAAATCAATACCCAACAATGATAATAAATTAGCGCGGCTGCAAAACCCCGCGTTTTTGCAGCCCGCCGGAAAACTGAGCTTTTTACAAGTGGTGAACGCAATTAGCTCGCACTAAATCGCGCTCCAAAGTGAGCGGTGCCTCCAAAGACCACTTCTGACTGGGCTCATTTGGCAGATCAGCGCGCCGGCTTATTGCACTGCGGCGTGGGTGATAGTGTTGCCACCGCGAGCGAGGTTAGCGAGATATGTCCCTGGTGAACAACGACACAAGTTAGCTCAGCGTATTATCTTCCGCCTATAGCGGGCTGAGCAGCGCGTTTTTCTTGTGTGTGAACGCGCCTAATAATGACAAATATTTGTCATATTGATATTTAGTGTCAATATATTTATCTTTGTCTATTATCTTTATAGTATTATATTGTCATATTTCTGTCAAAATATTTGTTGATCAACATTGTTTGACAAATAATTTGTCATTATTAGCCCCTGATCTAGCATTAATGGTATACATCGTACCAGTTACATTACATCCTCAGCACAATGATACATTTACCATACATGTACATACTAACACAATGTATAAATGTACCATACATGTACATCTTAACATAATGGTATATTACGATGTACAATCCATGTACATCTAACATAATGTATTAAGTGCTACCATAACATTACATCTAATATAAGGTATACAGTACCATACATGTACATCTACATAATGTATAAATGTACCATACTGTACATCTAACATAATGTATAAATGTACCATAAATCTCATCTACACAATGTTTATACATTGTACCATACATGTACATCTAACACAATGTAGACATAGCGACCTACAGTACATCATAACACAATGTATACATGTCCATACATTGTACATCTAACACAATGTATACATGTACCATACATACTGACCGTCCCCCGCGTGTCACCGACTAACCCCTACGTGTGGTTGCTGTTGCAGGCAGCGTGCCGGCGTTCCCGCTGCACCTGACCATGCTGGACCTGATGCCCGACATCTCGGAGTATGGAAGCACGAGCAGCCTCTCACAGGGTCTCTTCATCATCGCCATGGAGACGACGATGACGAGCTGCTCCAAGTGTCACACGTGTCACGCGCTGCTGTACGACGAGGAGATCATGGCCGGCTGGTCGGCGGACGACTCCAACCTCAACACGTGGTGAGTGTGCGTGTGTGTGTGTGCATGCGAGTGTGCGTGTGTGCGTGCGTGCGTGCGTGCGTGCGTGCGTGCGTGTGTGTGCGATTGTACGAGGTGTGTCTAGCAGTAGCTAGTGATCTCGCTAACCCGCCGTCTCCGTCTCGCCATCTACAGCTGCTGCTTCTGCGGCTCCAAGCTCGTCCCGCTCCTCACCGTCGTCGTCAAGGACAACCGTCACCAAGCCGGCGGCGGCGCTCAACTCCTGCCGAGCCAGTCGATGGAGAGCATACAGAGCGTGCAGTCAGCGCCCCCTACGCGCGCTGCGGTTGCCACGGCGACGCCGTCTGCGAGCGCGGCTTCGCTGGCCGGCAGCGGCGAGGACGGCGGAGTCTCGTACGGACTCGACGAGAGTCGCGAGTCGCTGCTTCTCACGAGTCCCGTAGCGAGCCCGCTGCGCCCCCTGGTGAGACAGGACATTCTCGCAGGTGAGCCGACTCATGGTGGTGGACAGTGGTTGTCATCATGTCTCACCTCGTGTCGTCTCTCTGTCTCGCCCCCGTCGTCGTTACGTCTCGCCTTGTTTGTCTTTCCGTGTCGTCTTGTTTTTTTGGTGCTGTTGTCTGGTTTTTTTGCTTCGCCTGTCTTGTTTTGTTGCCTCACCGCCATTGTTGCCTCGCCTCACTTTATCTTGCCGCCATTGTTGCCTCGCCTCACTTTATCTCGCTGGCCCATTGTCGTGTCACGCCACCTCGTCTTTTCGTGCCACCATTGTTGTCATGGCTGTTCTGTTCTTGCCTCCGTAGTTTCGTGAGTCACGTACTTATCCCCCTTCGACCCAGACTGTCAGAGCTATGTGCCACAATAACTCCACAATACATATGCCCGTAACTCTATCGCATTGTCTGACTCATCGCTCGCATTGTCTGACTCCTCGCTCGCGTTGTCTGACTCATTGCTCGCATTGTCTGACTCATCGCTCGCATTGTCTGCAGGATATCTGGAGTCGGATCAGACGAGCTACGCAAGCACGGACAGCAACCTGGATGCAGGTGGCAGCACCGTCGGCGACCTCGTCAAGACGGACTCGCCGCTCGTCGAGGACCGGTCCAGTACAGGTAGGAAGACATGTAGGTGACGTACACTTGTTGCTCAGGTGGGTTTCTTTGATGTTCCGCAACGATCGACGGACGTCCAACGTTAGATCGCTGCCGCCATGCGCCACGCGTTTTTCGGTTAGGAACCTCTCGCTCGCATCGCTAAACTGGGTTGTGACGGCGTTATTTCGACGCCGTGTGTGAGGGGCGCCGGGGCGCGAGCGAAGTAGTTTACTGTATACACTGTATATTTTGCCGTGGTTTAATTTTCGCGAATTTCGCGAACGCGTCCCCGACCGCGAAAATAACAACATGCGAATAATTCATACCGAATAATACCAAATAATTCATAATTCACTGACCACGAAATTAACCACTCGCGAAATTGTCCATCAAGTCTGAATTCGCGAAAATATCTGTATGCGAAAAATATGGCGTATACAGTACCTTAGTGTAGTGAGTACCTGAAGGAATGCCGGGTTGTTGTGCTAGCCCCACTAGGCCAGAGTTCGTGTTACGTTGCATTCATAAAAGAACGAGAGCCTCCGAATTAGAATGACGGGGAGGAACGCTGTCATAAGCCTTCCGTCTAACCTAGCCAATCTCAGTGAGTCATCGCCCCGCGTCAAAATATCGGCCGTCCGTTCCTGAGTTCTTGTTTTCCGCCTGCAGGTGGGTCCACTGATGCTGGCTACAGCTCACTAGTCATGGACGAAACGCGTAAGTCCGATAACAGTATTAACTGCGGCACAGAGGCGGAGACTGGCGGCAGCAATGCCGCTCCAGCGAATCGAGAACCTAGTCCGACGAAGAGACTGGCCACGGAGAAACCGGGTAAGGGAGGTTGGTGAGGTACCAGCTGCTGCATGTCCTCTAACACCCTCGTTATAATTCACGGGTCCATTAGGAGCCGGTTCTATAAATAACTATGATGTATATAGCTGTGATACGTCAAAAAAATTCACAGATCAGTAAAAAATAGTCTAAGTGAAACTTTTTGTGTGTGAATGTTGGGACATTTTGGACAACGGTCCATTGTCTTAGTTTTTAGTTGAAAGATTAATCATTTCTTCTCAATTCATAATTTTAAGTTAATGAATCTTATCTGTGTTTCACCTCGTCAATTTCTTCCATTATGCAATATGTTCATCATGAACCATCTTATCTTGTCATGCCTGACCTTTAGGGTGACCCAAAAAAAATGCAACCCAAACGAGTGTTAATAACTTTTTTGATATTGATGTTAACCCTTTCATTTTTCAGATTTAACGAGGTGAATAGTTGCCAATCAGAATAGAATCAAGAGTTTTTCAAGATGCCTTGGACTCTTCGACAGAAATCATGGTCCGTGGAAACGTACTTTTCGACCAAATCGTTCAAAACTGTACAAGCACGTTTCAAGAGGGAATTTAATTGTCGCACCTATCCAAACAAAGGACTCATTCTAAGATGGGTACAGAAGTTCAGGGTGCATGGGACTGTCAAGAACCTCGATGCCAAAGGGAATACTCCCACACACTCAGGGAGACAAAGGAGTGCAAGGACAGAGGAGAACATGACCTCAGTCAGGACCTCGGTTGGCCTCAGTCCAAAGAAGTCGTTACATTGGCGCAGCCAACAATTGGGCATTCCGAGGGAGTCTCTGAGGAGAATTTTGATTTAGGATTAGCATAAGCTGACCCAGATAATTCTGATTTGACAATTGAATTCCCTCTTGAAACGTGCTTGTACAGTTTTCAACGATTTGGTCGAAAAGTACGTTTCCACGGACCATGATTTCTGTCGAAGAGTCCAAGGCATCTTGAAAAACTCTTGATTCTATTCTTATTGGCAACTATTCACCTCGTTAAATCTGAAAAATTAAAGGGTTAACATCAATATCAAAAAAGTTATT